GAATAAAAGCCTTGACTACTTTTTATTTGGTTAGTCCTACACTTCAAAACTCTCATTTGTCTTCTCAAATAGTTTCAACAGTCATTGCGAAAGACTAACATATTATATGAGCATATTTTTTGTATGTTTAGATCCCCAGAATCAACACCTTTTGGATTGGTCAAGACGTTATAAGATTATAGGAGGAATAGCGCGAGGATTGCTTTACCTTCACGAGGATTCTCGTCTTAGAATCATACATCGTGACCTAAAAGCAAGCAACATACTATTGGACACAAACATGAATCCAAAAATATCTGATTTTGGAACAGCAAAAATTTTTATGCTTGATCAAACTGAAGAAAATACATGCAGAATTGTTGGGACATAGTAAGTTGGTGCATTTTACCTTTCAACTTTTTCTTGATCCTTGAATAACATTGACATTTACATTTTGGTGTGTAAGAGTTTCATTTCATAAAGGTCATTATCAATAAATACATGAAAGTATCCGTAGTTTTACACTCATATTGGATCCCTCAAGTTTTCAATTTTTCTGTGCATTTCTTTGCAGTGGTTACATGCCCCCCGAGTATGCTTTATACGGAGAGTTTTCCGTTAAATCTGATATCTTCAGTTTTGGAGTTTTACTATTGGAGATTATAAGTGGGATGAAAAATCGGCGTTTCTTCCTAATTAAAGGCACAAAACACCTCCTTAGCTATGTGAGTAATTACTTTTATATGTTTATATTTTCTGCATTAAGAAATGGTCATTTACTTGTGTTATACTATGTATATAATGGCCAACGTACTTATGGAGTTTGAAATAATGATTGTATTCTAGGCATGGGAACGATGGAAGGATGGCACACCATTGGAAATATTGGATCCAGCGCTTACAGAATCCTACAAAGTAGAAGAGCTCATCCAGTGTATTCACATTGGTTTACTTTGCGTTCAAGAATATCCAGAAGAAAGACCAACAATGCCAGAAGTAATGTTAATGCTTAGTAGTTATTCCATTTGTAGTTGGCCAAAACCTAGTGAGCCTGCATTTTACCGCAGTGGAAGTGATGGGATGCCTATAGAGTACTCTGCACCGCTTGATAATAATGTAACTTCACTTTCTGAACCATCTCCAAATTAAGATTTACTTTCATGGAATTGAGACTGACATGGGCTGAGTATATGTATGTAGATGAAAATTTAAGTTTTGAGATGAATATAATGGGATTCAGTCATTCAATATAAAATATTTAAAAGTACTCTGCAGAAATTAATGTATGAAGAATGATCATGGTAAGTATTTATTACTCTCCGTAATGAACACTGGATTTTGTTCCACCGAGCAAAAAACACTAGACTATTGATCTCCATTTGTACTAAGGCTTGTTTGTTCAAATTACAATTTAGTGGTTTAGTTTCAGATGATTTCATTTGGTTTGAATAGATACGACCTAGTCTACTGTGTTAAAGATTAAGTTTGTGATTACCCATAGTTTAATAAAAATGAGAATTACTGAACAGGCTCTAAAACAGAATGAGAAAGAATGAGGCGTAAAGGTATAACGAGGAAGATATTTAAATACAAGCAAAAAATGAGGAAGGAGTTTGGGATGCTATTCTCATTAAAAAAAGAAGCTAAAATGCTAAAATAAAAATAACTCTTATGAGCACCTTGTGGTTTGAAAACATCTATGCAAACACCCAAGCAGGAGCTCACATTTCAAAACTCATTCCAATAAAAAATTGACATTTACCAGAACAGATACTATAAGAGCATCTCCAATGCTAAAACGTGAACGGTGCATACGTGGTATGAGAGATAGCCAATAAAAAAATAATAAATAGAATATCTCTCTCCTTATTTGAAGAATCTTGTATCATTTTGGTAAGTTTTTCTTCACAATGTCAAGCACAATGTCTAGATGCAGTGGCGGAGTCAGAAATTTATGATTAAAGGGGCCGATCCTTAAAAATTTTACATTGTAGAGGCCAAACTTTGAAATATCAACACATTTTCTACAGATTAAAAGTATTTATACATATTATATACTTAAGATTTTTTTTCTTGCAGGGGCCGAGGCCCCCTCCAGCCCCTCCCTGTCTCCACCCCTGTCTAGATGTAGACATTGTGTTTGACATTGCAGAGGAAAACTTACCTAAAACACATAAAACCGTGGAAAGAATGAGAGAGAAATGTCATAAATTCAATTTTTTGTGTCTATCTCTCTCATGCCACATGTGCACCGTGCACATTGTAGCATTGAAGATGCTCTAAGATCAGATGATTGGATGGTTAAAATTGGATTTGTTAATATTCCGTACTTAATACTAGAGCAAAAAAACCTTACTCTTAATATGAGATAATCTATAAAATAGGATTAATCTAATGGTTAAAGTTTCTTTCTTTCTTCATTAGATTCATCATATTACATTCTCATTTGAATTAGACACCTACTTTACATATTAATCGTAATTTATGACGTCAATAGGGTCCTACTACTATTGACTGTTCTAGCTGGGTGTGTATTTACCCTGCCTTTTGACTATAGCAGTGAATGAAAATCTGAGTTACGTAATTAATTAATAATTGTCCAAATGATCGATAGTTCGCTCGTAATCTCCTCCATGTTAGGGAATGTCCTCTACTTTTTCATCTCCTCCTTCCTTATGGCCCACTACGCCGTCGGGATTTCCTTCCAACCCGTCTCATATCGGTGTAACAATACCGACACTCCAAACAGCACTTATCGATCCAACCTCAACTCCCTCCTCTCCACTCTGGGCTCAAACGCCAGCCGCCCAAACGGGTTTTACCACTCAGCCGCCGGAGATGGAAACGCCACCGCGTACGGCCTGTTCTTGTGCCGCGGAGACGTCTCTACCGCCCTCTGCAACGCGTGCGTGAGGTACGGCGGCGCAGATATAATGCGGCGGTGCCCACACTACAAGACGGTTGTCGTGTGGTACGATGAGTGTATGTTGCGGTACTCCGACCAGCCCATGTACGGGAAGCTGGACCTCTCTGTTTCGAATATTCTGTTTTCACAGAACGATCCTAGACCGGAGACTTTCATGGTATGGGTGGGGAAGAAACTGGGTAATATGGTGAACCGGCTCGCCGGTGACGACGGCTCCGGCCGGAAATATGTGACTGAAGAAGCTAAGTTTAGCGGAAATGAGACGATCTACACTGTGGAGCAGTGCACGCCGGATCTTTCCGACGAGGATTGTCAAGATTGCGTTAGCAGTGCAATCCAAAATCTGGTGTCGGCAAGGGGGAATAGAGCTCTCTACCCAAGTTGTAATGTCAGGAATGAAATGTACCCATTCTACAACACCAGCGTTGCTTCTCCCCCGCCTCTGCCGCCGCCGCGGTCTCATCCTCTGTTGTCGCCTGGGCCGCTTCCAGTTCGCCTCCCCATGCCTGACGACAAACATCCACCTCCTGGTACAGCTTTTTCTGTATTCATTTTCATCCAATGAGTGTTTGGAATTTGAAGATGTTGGATTTTGCACTAACATGGAGAATAATGATTTTATTAAACTTGCTTCAAACGAGCCACTACAACCAGGGCCGGTCCCGAGAAAATACGGGCCCTGTGCAAAAATAAAATGTAGACCTTTTCCTAAAATAGGTAGAAATACAATATAAGTGAAGATTATATTTGTAAAAATTTGCTACTATAATAATAATTCATATATATCAAAATACAAGTTATTCACTAACATAATAGTTAAAATAAAACTATTCTTTAACAAAATACACTTCATTGATTTGTTAAATTGAATTATAAATTAATAGTTAAAATAAAAATATTCCCTAACATCAATATAATTGATAGACGTAATGAACATTTGATACATATTTAATAGTTTGTTAATTTAATAATGACATGCAATAAAAAATAATAGTAGTTATTATTATTACAAATTAATATTTGATAGCTTAGAATCTAATGAGTTTTTAGTTATACTTTATATGATACTCCGTATAAAATTACAAATTGAGAGGATGTTAACAACATCCAAATGGTTGAGCTGGTTCAGCGTCCTCATGGGTAAGATACCCACCAGGGTTCGAATCCCCTGGTGTTGACATTTTTTTAAATTTTTGAAGCATGTGATCTGAATATTGGGCTCTATTCGTAGGAAGGCTATTGAAAATTTGGGCCCTCAAATCTACGGGCCCTGTGCGGCCGCACTACTGGCACACCCTGTGGGCTGGCCCTGACTACAACCAGGGGCGGAGCCAGGACACTGGGCCGGACTAGGCCGGTACAAAGAATATTTTTGGAAAAAAATTTACACGGAATTTTTTACACTAAAAATATAGAGATTTTTAAAATTTGGGCTGGGCTAGGGCCAGGGGTGGCCACCCCTAGCTCCGCCCCTGAGTACAACCGTATATATATATGAGTATGAAGAGTGCCCTATTCTAAACAAGGCTGACTAAATAAATACACCCGGCCCAAATAAAATACAATTTGGCCTAATTACAAAATACACATGCGTTAACACCCCTCAAGTTGTCAAGAAGATAGGAAAATTGTTGTTTGCCAAGGGCCTTAATGAAAACAAGAGCTCAAATATATTTTAAACTCAAGCAAGGCTTGCATGTCATTGCCCGAAAGAATTAAGTCATCCACATAAATAAGCACGTTTAATTGGATCTCCACTTTGCGGTAGGTGAAAAGCGAGTAATTAGAATAAGATTGCCGAAAGCCATAATTTTTCAAGGATCCTGCCAACTTTGTGAACCAGCACCGTGGTGCTTGGCGTTAAGCCATATAAAGATTTTCGCAATCAGCACACTAATCCAGGTCAAGAAGATGAAAAACCTGGTGGAAGTTTCATATAAACCTCTTCGTCGAGATCACCATGTAGGAACGCATTATGAACGTCCATCTGATGCAATTCCCAATTACGGGTTGAGGCTACTGCTAGAAAAGTACATACAGTAACCATTTTTGCCACAGGGACAAAAGTCTCAGTATAATCAATACCTTCCTTGTGGTGATTACTGAACACCACAAGTCAGGCTTTGTATCGCTCGATGGAGCCATCGGAATTATATTTGATCTTATAGACCCATTTAGAGCCAAGAGCTTTCTTGTCATCAGGTAATCTCGCCATCTCTCACGTAATATTATTTTCAAGAGCCGTGATCTCTTGCTGCATGGCCTCAAGCCATTTTTCATCATCCATAGCTTCTCGGAATGACCTTGGTTCCCTACCTACAAGAATGGCCCCAAGGAACGCATGATATCGTGCAGAAAATTATCACAATTTATATAGTGCGTAAGAGGATATTGCGTACCTGAGAAACCAGATGAGTCGGGTGATGACGAGGATGGGCTTAATTCGTGAACATGATTTGTAACAAAATCCTGAAGAAGAACTGAAGGCCGTTTTGAACGCATGCCGCGGCCCAGTACTGGTAGCTCGGCCGAAGTAGCCGCGGCTGTATTGTCTCCTGCATGATCATGTATGGCAGTTTCGGCAGCACATGTAGTACCAAATGTGGCATCGGTCGCATGGGTTTGTTCCAGTGGGTTAACATAAAAAATGAGCAAAGGCATTTGATCCTCCTCATGCCCCGGCAGTGACGAATTAGAGGGTACCGAAAAAGGGAATTCGTCCTCATAAAACTTCACATCGCGGGACACAAATATGTCTCCCGTGTCACAATCGTATATTTTTCATCCCTTCTTGCCATTGGGATATCCAATGAACACACAACGCCTACTCATTGAAACAAACTTATCACCTTTGGACATGAGATTATAAGCAAAGCACAAACACCCAAAAATTCTTAAATGAAGCAAATCCGGTGCTACTCCGGTGAGAACTTCATATGGAGTTTTTCTTCCAAATAGCCCGGACGGTGTCTATTAATACGATAAACCTCCGTAAAGACACACTCATCCCACAAAGCTATAGGAATATTTTCTTGAAACATTAATGCACGGGCCACATTTAAAATATGTCGATGTTTACGCTCCACTTTCCCATTTTGTTGAGGTGTGTGAACGCATGTAGTTTGAAAAAGAATTCCACGCTCCTCAAAATATGGCAATAAACAACGAAATTATGTTCCATTATCGCTATGAACAATTTTCACATAAACTTCAAATTGTCGTTCAATCATAGCAATAAAGGAAAGAAAATATTTATGAACTTCCTTCTTGTCCCGCAACAAATGAACCCACACTGCTCGTGAAAAATCATCCACAAGAGTCATAAAATAAACAGCATCACAAGTAGATGGGGTCTTGTAAGGTCCCCATAAATCACAATGAATCAACTCCAAAATTCTACTTGTTTTATTAATACTAGTAGGGAAAGAATTGCGAACTTGCTTTGCTTGTGGACACACCTCACAAGCTTTATTTAATTTCATTGGAAAAGAACTAGAAGCAATAGTGGGTAATAATTTAACAACCCGGTCTGAGGGATGACCTAACCCACGATGCCATATTTCAAATTCATTCTTTTATTACTTCTGAACAACATGTATCTCTGGCACACCTCTGAAGTAGTAAAGCCCATCTCGTCTATCACTGGCTCCAATCAGGTTCCTCGAGCGCAGGTCCTGTGTAGCACAAGAAGAATTAGTGAAAGTGATAGCACACTTAAATTGATCTGTCAATTGGGATACCGAAAAAAGATGACAATTTAATCCAGGGACAAAAAGAACATGATGAATAGTAATATTTTTAGAGAGGCACACGCTGCCCTCCAAAATTGCCGCAGCACGTCGTCCGTCAGGTAGTCCAATCGGACGCTCATGTATACGTGTGACATTCATGAGACGAGAAGAATCACCGGTGACGTGATGCCCCGGTATCAATAATCCAATCAAAGTAAGTGGTCATACCAGTCATGCGATCATTGGAACGAGTTTCACTGCTAATTAAATTCAGAAGCGCATGAATTTGCTCCTTACTCGAGTCATGTAAACCCCGAGGCTCACTCTATGATGAAGCACTGTTACTGCCCAGTTCCTGTGCCACAAGGGAGGGAGCCACTGCATGCGTACGTGCAATACTAGCTGTCGCGCCCTGCCGCAGGCTGTTTGGAACGGTTACGTTCCTCCCACCATTTCGGGTACCCGTGAAGCTTGAAACAGGTATCAATTTCATGTCCTTCCTGTTTGCAATGCGAACACATCACTTTGGCTCGATTGTTCCGGTTTGTTCGTCCCTTGGTGCGGTCTGCTTGGAGCGCAAAAGCATGTGCATCCACTGCGGCAGATTTACTTCGTACAATAGCACGTGAATTCTCCTCTTGGAGAAAGGCTTGGTGCGCTCGGTTAAGGTCTGGCAGCGGCGTGCTTGACAATAGGTTGGAGCGGACCGTCCCGTACACATCATCGTCAATTCCAATTAAGAATTGATGTAATTTTTCTTCTTTACGATCTGCCTCAAACTTCGCGACCACATTACACGTACATAAACCACAAGTACATGCATGTAAGGTTTCAACCGATTCAACTCATCATATAAACTCACAAGCATCGTGAAATATGCGTCAACTGACATCGTCTTGCTCTGTTTACAGTCTGTAATCGAGGCTCGAAGCCTCTGAATTCGTGGTCCGTTAGCTATGCTGAAACGGCCCTCCAAATACACCCACAGTGACTGTGCTTCTTCGTGAAACGGGATGGGCACAGCCACCGTGGGATCCATGCTCCTGAGAATCCATGAAACAATCATGGAGTTGTTAGTTTCCCAGTCAATTATCTGAGCCGCTTCAGTCGGTTTCTTGAGGATCCGTCAACAAACACGTACTTTCGCCGTGCCTTCAAGGACAAGGTCATCCCTCTCATCCACGCCACATAGTTATGAGATTCCCCGGTTGATCCCCAGGGCTAAGGTAATACAGTGATGTAGTATCAATTCTGGGTGCAGCATTGTCCCCCATGGCTACTACGCAAAACACGCTGGTGTCGCGTAAAGCCATTGACGAAGGAGGAAGGAATCTGCGGCTTTCCCTTTTTGGGGCTCTAATACCATGTTGGATTTTGCACTAATATGGAGAATAACGATTTTATTAAAATTGCTTCAAACGAGCCAGTACAACCGTATATATACAAGTATGAAGAGTGCGTTATCTATCTTAATATAAAAGGAAAAGATGTAAAGGGAACGGTGTTCCCGCTGAAATATGTCATTTTCAGCTTTACGTGATTTTAATTGCTCAAAAACAATGCAAATTATAAATCGTAATTATAAATCGTAAAGGTGTGAATAATTGAGCTGCATTTGCGGGTGATACTATTGGTCTAAATGGAGGTCACCACTGTTGGCATAAATCCTGATTTGATTTTGAGACTCAACTTGCGTTATTTTGTCTGGTGGAGAAGGGAGGTCCAAATAGTGTATGGGAGTGGGTCTATTCAACCCTATTGCTGTTGATAGTTGATACGTTCCAACTATAAAAGCCCCACTCCTGTGGAGTTATTCCCACATCCATTCGCCGTTCCAGCTCAAATAGCAAAATGGGGTGTACCGCCGATTAGTGTCCATCAACGGCAGGTAGACCTGCACAAAAACGGGTTCGGGCCGGGCTCGGGCCGGGCTTTTTATAATTTTTTTGCCCATCATATGTGGGCGGGCCCGGCCCGGCCTGCAAAAACGGGCCTAACCCCATGTCCATACCCGCCCATAAGAGCGGGCCGGGTAGTCCACCGGGCCTCCGGGCCCGGAAAACCTTTATATTTTTCGAATTTTTTTTAATACTTTAAAACTAATATTACAACATTTAAAAAATTGTTAATATGCGTGTAATGTTTATAGTTCTTTCACCACATACAAAAATAATACTTACACAATAATGAGAAACTATATCTAAAATTTAAAATTCAAGCACAAAGTATTATCTTTAAGTACAAAAATAGATATTATATTAGTTGGGCTAGTGGTTCAGATCTAAAAACCTAAATTTAAACATAATAAACTATAAATATGTATAAAGATAAATTATATTAGAAAATATAAATGTACATGTAAATAAATTATATATATATATATATATATATATAATGTAGCGGGCCGGGCTTATCGGCCCGAACGGGCCTACACCCTAACCCTAGCCCGCCCATATGTTATTGCGGGCCGGGCCCGGGCGGGCCCGGTGGGTAAATATATATTCCCAAGCCCGCCCATTTGTGCGGGCCGGTTGGGCGGGCTGGGCGGGCCGGCCCGGTTTTGTGCAGGTCTAACGGCAGGTAGTGCCGGGTGGACGGAATTTGCGTGGTGGCAGTGTGTCTTATTTCAGGCGCCCGGTTCATTCGCCGGCGCTTGGATTAACAGCGGTGGAGTCGCGTGGGAGAGACCGAGAGAGGGGTCCTGTTGGTTTATGTCGGCGAAGAGAAATGAGGGTTTGGGGTGGGTGTCGCTTTCAGAATGTGTTTATATACCTCCGGGTAATGGGCGTGGTTTAAGGATTATTTAGGCTGCTTTGGAAGGGCCAATATAAATGGATCCGGAGTCGGGCTCTGGATTGTCATTTTTTTTCATGTTTGTTAATACTTACTATAGGTTATAAAAATAAAAATGTTTTTATACAATTGTTCCTATACGCACTTTTATTGCTTTTAAACTGTCAGAAAACCTGTAACAAAACAAAACATTGTTAAAGTATGTTTGTTTTTAATACGCCTTCCCTCCCAATTTGGTTTGCGAATTTTCTATTTTGGTTGTCTCAAAATGATTTCCCACTTTCTATTTTAGGTATGTAAATAAGATAAAGTAGCAAGTATACCCTTACTTTTTACTTTTTTCCCACATCTACTTTTTGGATAATGGACAAAAGTGTAAAAAGAAAACATCATTTATTGTCATTCTTTAATCCTTATGTCGGTCAAAGTTTGCAATTTAATTTGGGAGGGAGGGAGTATGCATTTTAAAAATTCAAGTAACCGGTTTTATTATTGTCCATAGTACGTATGATAAAAAAACAAATTGTCCATAGTACGTGTATAACCGATTTAAAGAGTTTTAAGTGGTATTAAAACCTTTAACTTTTTTTATTTATAAATAATCCATGATCTGAGATAATGTCTACATCCTTAATTTGTTGTTAATTTTGTTTATTCCACACTTTTCCTGTGGTGTATAAATGTAAAACACCCGTGTGATAAATAAGTGAACTGTATTTCATGCCTTTATAAATGCATAGTACTCTATTCATAAGACGGAGTAATAAATATACCGGTATGCAAAGCATTTATTTGTTTTTATCAATTATCTTAATGAGTGGCGACGTGGCGTATCCAGGAAACTTGGTGAGTGGGGCAAACTTGCACTACAATTTAGTCTCATACTAGTACAGTACCCGTGCATACGCACGGGAAGAGCGGTGTTGGTGCATATATTTTTATTCATAGTCGTATTAAATATGATAATAAAATTAGTGTTTAGAATTTTTACACTTTCGGAAAATCGGAGAACAATAATATAGTACCATAAAATATTAGTCTAAAGAATAAATATTAAAAGTAAGACTATATTAGCAAAATTAATTGA